GGTTGCTAGGGTGTTCTGAGTGGTTGGTAATATTGTGGCATTTTTTAAATATTTGCAGAAGAAATATAGGATTGGAATGACATAATGGTAAGTAAATGGTGAACTTTTGGATGAACTTTCATTTTTAAACAAGTTTAATTTGATAGATCGCTAACTGTAAGTATGACAGTAATGCTTGATTTAGTTTCAGGCTCAGTTCACTATTTGTGTCAAATCTAGGAACACAACTCTAAATTAAACGTGCTCTGTGGTTAGGTTTTGTCTGGTGTTGTGTGAGAATGAAAGAGTAGAACCATGAACTTGCACTTGACCTGTCAGCGCTGCGGCCAAAGAGCACTTGTATTTATTGCTGCATTTCTGGACACTTGCTGAAATGAAGCACCAGTCTTTGTCTTTTTTATAGCTCAGTGGACTCATCTGGGCAGTGGAGACATAAAATACAGCTTTAATGTGGAGCGTTTCACTCTAGGAAGATGTTCACATGAGGCACCAGACTTTCATGTGTGATATTAAACTGCACCGAGCGTGATATTTCAAGAGGATGTCTGAACATTGACAGATAAATGCAGTGTAAATCGGCTTAAGATGAACCATGTGCTGCGCTGCACGGTGAAGCACATTTATCTGTATATGTTCTTGCCTTTCTCCTTTCTCTCAACCCCCAAATACACTCAAGCATACATCATCAGATAATACCCACCTCCCCCTCTTCCCATTTCGGTGCATTTACAGTTTCCAGCAAAGCTGAGTGAGCACAACAACAGGAAAACAAAGTGCCTTCTCTCATTCTCTGGGCTTTCACCTCTGTCTTTGCTGAATCAAAAAGGCAATAGATGGGCCTCATCACTCCAGAGTCTATGGTAAAGTTTTTCAGAGAACTAGAAAAGGAATGACTACACTTTTATATTTTCTGAAGAAATTGTGATTGACGTGTAGTTCCAAACCTGTACTGTATGGTGTATGATTTACTTTTTCAATTTGTTGGATTTAAATTTGACAATTTTCTATCAGAAATTGCTTGAATTTCTCAAATAATTACAAAGAAATGGCAAGTTACACATTGAATTAAGCTTGAAATTTTGAAGTTGACGACTGAAATAGTATTTTTCTCGTAAAACATACTCCAATAAACTTTGTCATACATTATTGGAATGTCAGGGTTTCTGGAGGTTTAAAAAAGTCTTAAATTCATAAAGTCATTGCATTAAATGCTGCATGCATTGCAAAAAATAATATCTTCCTCTGTATTTTTGTTTTCCAGTATAAATATCTGAAAATTTTTAATGACATGCAAATGTAAAATGAAGCCTTGAAAACTGAACACAAGTGAGTTTATGCTTAAAAACAAGAACAAATATCTGTCAATGGGGTATGAAAATATTTGAATTAAGAAGATTGCAAATATTTGTTCATGTTTTAATCATAAACTCATTTCATTCTTATTGTGTCATTTTGCAGAATCTTTAGACATTTGCACTGGAAAACAAGACAAAGGTGCAAAGGTATTCAAGTTTTTGTTTTTTAACTAAAAAATAATGGAGATTGGTTGGAAGTTGTATTTTATTTTTGGGTGAATTATCCCTTTAAGGCCCCCCTTTTTTTTAGTATACAACTAACAGCATTGCATTAAACTAAATACATTAAACTAGACAACCTAGTTTATATATCCGAAGCTTGAATCAATGAAGTGAAACAAATCAATGAATCAATTTTTGAACTGTCTGAATGAACTGACTCACTAAAATTAATCAGACTTCTCAGCCTCATGTAGAGCTGTGGGTATGAATTAGTAATGTAGCATAACAAAATGCTTCGTCGCTAGTTTTTTTCTGCATTGAATTGAGCAACTTGTTAGGAAAATAATAGCTGTTGCACAAATGGTGTGGAAAAGGTTTCTCACTGAAGTTTAATATTTTTGAACCCCAACCCTCAGTATGAGTGATAGTTATAGGGATGCAAGGACCATTATTTAGATCTCAGCTGCAAGATCTTTCCTCTGTTTTCCTCTTCTTGCTGGAAATGTGGAGGTTGATATTGGGTGGGAGATCACAGCTCGCTCCTGTGGTGATGCCCGATTGCCAGTGTAAAGACAGGGAAGGCTATGTACCATGACTTTGGACAGTTTGAAGGGTATGGATGTGATATGTGCTATTGGCTGCTCTATAATAAGATTGCTGAGATCTGTGGGGAGGAGAATTTACTGGAGCACAACTCCCCCTAGGGCATCTTCATAGAAATCTGCTTTTCCACCAGCTTTTGGTGCATCTCAGCCAAGCTGCTTGGTTCCTATTGTTAATGAGCCGCTCTTTCACTCTCCTTCCCCCCAGCCTGAGCCACAATGCGCCAAAAGGGGCTAGAAAATCTCAAGCTGCAGCTGATGGCAGTCCAGGAGAGGCAGAACATGACAGATGAACACTCAGCCTTTCTCGCTCTGCAGGCATTAACATGGCCATTTCATCCAAACCTTTTCCAGCTGAGAACTTAACATGACCCGGTCCACAGGCACCTTCCTTACGGTTTAAGACACATGGATACCTCTGTGTGCTTCAAAGATTTCAAACTGGTGTAGTACTTGAGTTCTAGAGAAATGCACTTTATGTGCATTTCCCAAATGATTTTGGTACACCAATGAGCACACAGTGACTCATGATTGGTTGAGATGAATATCTTGAACCAATCAGTGATCAGACCGTTTTCAGAATGGAATACTAGCATACTGTTTACAATGTGAAATTGTGCATTATGCAACAATTAAGATTTTAGGCTACATTTTTTGTCAATTCAAGTTTTTTTGTTCTGTATTAATCTGATCGATTGTAAAGTGTTGATATTTGGAAGTGCTCATACTAATAATAATTAAACATTAACTGATTAAAAAGTGTGCTATATAAAAGATTTATTTATTTATGAATAATTAAATTAATAAAATATAAATAATAATAATATGTAAATGTTTCTTTATTTGTTTATTTTAATAAAACAATACAATAGATAATATATATAATTAATAATAAAAATAGATACTTTGCATTTTTAATCAAATCCTGAGTAAAACCAACTTGGCAGTCCAATCAAATGAATTGTCAAGAAAAAGATCTTAAGAATTGTGGCAGATTACTTCCGGTTCACTTGTCACAGCATATGGCTGGTCAGGTTGAGTGCAGTGCTTTATGGGATACAATACAATACATTTAGACAAATGTAGCAGTTTATCCAGGTATTCTGTGAATATAGTACAAGTGTGCCATTCTGAACTTTCATACTTTGTTCTGAGAGCTAGCTTTTTCATTTTATTACACTTTAGTTTAAAACCTCTGTAACTCACACATTATTTTCTTAATCTTAACTTCGAGGCAGCAAATGCCAGATCTCTATGATTGTACTGCGTATCAAAGATGGATTTCCACGACACCGCGAGGCCATGCAGATTAGGATTTATCTGATTTGATCATTTCCTTTGAAGAACAACCTGATCATCGTAATGCGTCCCATATTAAATCTGTGGCCTGCAGAATTCACCTGTTCCATCAAAACCCATTTTAGCTGGCATGCATTTTAACCCATTTAATACTGAGATACTTTTGCTGAATAAACAGCAAGAAAAGTCTCGTTGATGTTCTTAAAATATCATGGTATGACATAATCCTGCATTAAGAGGAGAAAATGAAATGTTCAACATGCACCATTCTGATAATGAACAGAAATGTGATTTTAATTAAAGTGACGAGAGTGTGTTAGAATGAGACCGGGCTCTGTATTTTTAGATATCCATCTTTTCTTAAAATTATAGTGATAATACTTGAGATATAAAATATATAATTTAGCTTACACCGTGGAGTACAGACTGTCAAAGTAGTAATTTGTGGTTTTGTTGAAGCTTTAAAGTATGAATGTTTCTGTCATTTTTTCCTTTTTCCAGCAAATTTTCATATTTGAAAATGTCATACCACCTTTTTTTTTTTTTAAAGAAAGTAGTATGCAGTATGCAAATTTTCAATAACCAGTTGACTAGATTTTTTACTAGATTTGCTAAAAAATGTGCAGTATACACAATCAGAATTCACTGCATAGAACACAGCAATGTTTGGCCTTCTATTTCTAGTGAGACAAATGAACCAGAAACGATACGAACCATCTCCCTGACAATTATTTGTTTAGACTGCCAAAAGAGAAGACATTTACCCCAAAGTGAATTAATGTGAAATAATTGCATTTGAAACATTCACGCTCTGCAATATGTTAACATACTATTTTTATAAAACATTATGCAGTGTGCTCAGTTCTGATCGTTGCCCAAAGCAAAGATATTTGATAATCTGTCTCACATTATCAGGATTATTCAAGCAGAAGGCTGTTGCATATGGCTGAGGTGTAGAGTTGTCTGCTTGTCATCTGCCTGTGTGGGCATTATTTCTGCAATCAGAATGCATGCTGGGAATTAATTAGCCTGGGCTCCATTTAGCTGCCTCCCTGTGTTAATGTAGAGATGTTCAAACGCAAAGGGTGTTAAAGTACAGTAGCGACACTGCGGGACGTCCACTCGCCGCATTTTATCGCTTGATGAGTGGAAAATGTGTCGTGATGGGAAACGCTAGGAGATTGTGATGGTTCGGAACGGGGGGAAATTGGAGTTGTAACAGATTAGCACAGATTCAGCTTCAACCTCAATCAATTTAGAATCATGGCCTTCTTCATCTCCAGCAATCGCTAATAGTTCATTCCCTCCCTTCTGTTTGCGAGCTGATTTCCTGTTCAGTGTGAAAATTGGCCGCTTAGCCGTTAAACCGTTGTCATGGAGCCTCTGGCCTCTGAATCATCTCCTCTCTGATCTGGATGAGAGCGCAGTGGATCAGTCGCATGAAATCCCTGACGCCCCTCTCTAAAACCACCAATCTACCTCTGCAACCTGCAGTAAAGCCAACTAAAGCCCTTCAGTCCTAACTACTCCCTGGCATCGGGCCTTAACGCTTCCTCCTCTCTCTTTGTCTCTCTCTCCACAGTATTGCTGAGTGTGCTTCAGGCAAATGGCCAGACAGAGATGAAGAAGGTGGTCGGAGACAATGCCACGCTGCCGTGCCACCATCAGCTGTGGCAAGCCGACATCTCCCTGCTGGACATCGAATGGATGCTGCATAAATCCAGCTCACGGCAGAAAGTGGTGAGCGCGCGCACATCTGATCTCCCGCCACTGCGACATTGTGCTGCTGATGCTGGCCTTCGCTGCTCTCCACAGTCCCTGATCTGCAGTGCAGTGCTTTTTTGCTGCGATGATGGGAAGGGTTGTCTTTCTGTAAACTGCACCATCAACTGGTGCTGCAATCAGCACTGTAAAAACTGCTAATTTTTAATATGTCACTGCTTTGCCTCGTATCACCCCTAACAATTACTTTTATGACCTAGTGATGTGGAATTGGCCCGAGGACAAGTTTTACATTTTAATCTGGCTACGGCTCAAGCTGCTCCCTGAGGTCCTTCCTGACACAATATATCCAACAAGAAGAGGTCAAACCTTTCGCTGATTTAACTTCCTGCCAGTTATGAATCATTTCAGAGCTATTTTTCTAAATAGCATGTAGCTTTTTAATAAGAGAAAGCTTTTTTAGGGGTGAGTTTTTGTTCTGCTTAGCTGACAATTTTGGGGTCTGTCTCTCAAACCCTATAGCGCCACCAACAGTTTAATCTTTTAGGTACATCGTTTTAGTTTATTTATACACTAAAATTCACGTGGATTTTAAGATTTTATGTTTTTGAAAGAAGTCTCTTATGCTCACCAAGTCTGTATTTACTTTATCAAAAACAGTAATATTGTAAAATATTATTACAATTTATACTGTTTTCTTGTTAAATATATTTTCAAATGTAATTTATTCCAGGGATGCAAAGCTGAATTTTCAGCATTATTACTCTAGTCCTTAGTGTCACATGATCCTTCAGAAATCATTCTAATATGCAGATTTTTCTTATATAAACATTTCTTCTTATTATCATTGCTGAACACAGTTGTGCTGCATAATATTTTTGTATAAATCACACTGACCTGAAATTTTTGATCAGTAGTGCAACTTTTGAATGATTTAGAAGCAAAATAGTTCTTTTTTTAATTCATTGAATCATTTTTCAATTTTTGACTTGATTTTCTGACATTTTCATTTATTTATTTTTGTTAACAACTCTTTATTGAATTTTCTTTTGGGAATAGTAATATAAAACAAACAGCAACTGTGTACATTTAGAACCCACCCCAACCCATCCCAACCCTGGTAAACTTAAAAATAAAATAAAAATAATAATAATAATAATCATAAAAATATGTATATATATAAAAAATAAATAAATAAATAAAATAATTTTTTCAAAGATTTTAGAAAAGCTGACACAACATTAAAAGCTGAATGCCATAAATTTACAGTTTTCACATTAGATCCATGTATACGAGAAGTTGAGAGTTCCATCAAGATAATGTCCAACAAATACACAGTCCAGATTCGTCTGTCCGTTGTGTGAGGAGGATTCCAACGATTGACTAGACATTTTTATTTTAAAATTTTTTTTTTTTTTCAGTTTAAGCAGACTGTCATCGCATGATTTTGTGATCATGCCAGTCAAAATGATTAAAAACCTTTTTGATACAGATGCATCAATAGTTAAATTCTTAGTAAATAATTATTTTCATGTTATGGTCAATATTAAAATCCTATACAATTTTTTTGAATGAAAAAAAAAAATTGATAAAATATTTTTAAAAAGTTGCTTTTATTAATTATTTTGTTAGATAATGGGGGAACTTTTATCAGTGAATAGGACAGATTCTTGTTAGGAAAATAGTTTAGCATTGCTTTACAGAATGAAGTTGAGTATCAGGGACACCGAAAGACAAATATAACCAAGCAAAGAAAGGCCTGATTCACAGTGACATCAGAGTTTAGCAGACTCCTACTGCAGGCGTGCACTGTGACTCAACCCTCACTGGATTGCGCCCTTAGCACAAAGAGTTTCACAAGCTTAATCAAAGCTGTATTTATTAACTCACTGTATGTTTCCTCTTTCACCAGGTCATCACATACTTTGCGGGTCGGATCTACGACCCCAACGAGAGTGAAGCTGGGCGGCTTTCCCTGGCGGGAGACTATCTGAAAGGCGACGCTTCACTCTTGATCAGCGACCTCTCGCTCGCCGACTCCGGAGAATACATCTGCAAGGTCAAGAACGGCGGGAAGTACTACTGGAACACAGTCAAACTCATCGTGCTCCGTGAGTCTTTGGCCCCGCAGCTTGGCTTTAATTAACTCCTCTTGTAGGCCTGGGAAATGATAAAGACATGACAGATGCTTATGTCACGGAGTAAGGGGTCCAAAAATAGCACCAGGATGTTGTCCCTGGGCGTAGTGTGCCAGTTGTGCCCTGATCTTAGCGTGAAATGACATTCAGTGACTGCATGACAGTAAGAATGACACATTATGCATGATAGCTTTGGAAAAAGCAGTCATCACATGTAGAAATTTACAAGACACACTATAGTCGAACTTCCAAAACACATAAATCAGTCTTAGTTACTCATTCAACATGTATTATTATGAGTATGTGTTGAATAAATGCCTCCTCCTGCATAGAAACATTATATGTCTGTTTTCACCCCATTGTTTCTTTCTATACTCCTTCATTCCATCTTAACCGCTTCGCCACAGCTGTATAAAGGCATTTAAGAGCACCACAAATTTACGCATGCATTTGTACAAATGGTCCATGGCTTTCAAACGACACGTTCGATTCTGAGGGGCAAACATTAGCATTTGTCTTGTTCAACACAAAGATAATGGCTTGGCAGAGGTGGCAAATGCAGCTTCCTCCGTGTGCCGTAAGTGATCCTGACAGAGTCGGGAGATGGAGGGGACCTGCATCCCACTCAGCAGCTGTAATTGCATCCCCCCACTGTGAGTGCCGGGGGAAAATTGTCCTGGCTCAGCAGATAGAGGCAGCAGGAGCAGAGTCTGATGGCAGGAGTGGGGGGTCGAGGACAGAATGGTGAACGGGTTGTTTTACAGATTCATGTTATCTGTTTTTTTTAAGAGGTTCATGATGTGAGGAAAAATAGATCTAAATGGGGAGCAATGCAAAAAGGGTAAAAGTGCATGTGTGAGTGTACAGATCTGTACACTCACACATGTACATGGTTGTTTAATATTTAAGCCAATTCTTTGTTGAATGTCCAGCTAACATACCTATATTATGATATAAAATTCACTGAATTATCCAAATAAATGCATTACTATGTGGATTTATAATATGTATGCCAATCCTTTGTTGAATTTCCAGCTAAGAAAATCACAGGGTTATCCAAAAATATGCATTACCATGTGGATATTTAATATATAAGTCCATTCAGTTGTTGAATTTCCAGCTAAAATACCTCTATACTGATACAAAATAACTCATACCATCATGCAGTATTTACCTTACTATATGTGTTTGTCTGTTTTGCAATGTAGTGAAGCCGTCCAAACCACGCTGTTGGATGGAGGGTCGTCTGCTGGAAGGAAGTGATGTCAGACTGAGCTGCAAGTCCACAGATGGTTCTGACCCGATCAGCTACAAATGGGAAAGAGTCTTAGACAAAGGAAAATACGCTGGCAAGCTGCCACCTCAGGCCCTCATAGGTGAGCTCTTAGAAGAGTATTTTAATATTTACATCTGTAAGTGAAATTTTAATAATGACAAATTTTACTAATAATTATGGGCGAAAATCTGTGTCATATTTAGATAATGTGATGTAGGTGAAGATGATATTTTGACTGTAACCTGTTGCCCACGTTTATAAACGCTAAACCGACTTGCTCTGCTCCAATCACTTTAATACTGCTTTCTCATGAAGAAAAAAAAATGCAGCATTAAGTTTATCTTCCAAGCGTGGGGAGTAAATCATGTGGACATCTCCACTCTGGAGGAGCAGAAAATAGATGAAGACACTACAGGGCCAATTTAACACCGCAAGCTTTCTCAAATTAAATTTACATCAATTCCATCAGCATTTTTTACCCCACATGCTTCACTACCTTCTCAATTAGCCCCTCTTATGAGATCGGCTTGGAGATGTGACATATGTGTAATGTAATGTGCTCTCTACCCTTCATCAGGCTTTATGGAGAATTTTGCAGAACATGCTCTGTTCATTCAACTGTGCACTTTCAATAGTTTTTTCACGTCAGAAATGAGGTTTCAATGAAATCAACACTAACCAAAAGAGGTTGTAGGTTCAGTACTTGAAGCTTGAAGTGTGACAGCGTGTTCTAATCAGGCCCGTTGTGATGAACTTACAAGCAATAAATCTTCACCATGTCCTAACCAGCCATAAAAAGCAAAATTTTGTTTTTGTTTATCATGTAACTCACAGTTTGATAATGGTGCTTGACATGACACAGTCACAACCAACTACAGCATATTTGATATTTAATATACAGCTGCACTGCTGTTCAAAAGTTTGGGGTTAGTAAGATTTTATTATTTTTATTTAATTTTTTTATTTAATTTGAAAGAAATTCTACATTAAGGATTCATTAAATTGAATTGAATTGACACTTATAACGTTACAAAAGATTTCTGTCAAATAAACGCTGAACTTTCTATTCATCAAAGAATCCTGAAAAAAAATGTATGTATGTATAATATTTAAACAATGTCTTCAGCATTGACAATAATAATAAATGTTTCTTAAGCACCAAATCAGTACATGATAATGATTTCTAAAGGATCATGTGCCACTGAAGACTGGAGCAATGACTGCTGAATTCAGCTTTGTCATTATAGAAAATAATAACATTTGAAACATAAAAAAAAAAATTGTTTTAATTGTAATAATATTTAACAATATTACTGTTTTTACTGTATCTTACTATATCAAATACATGTAGCCTTAGTTAGCAAAAGACACTCTTCATTTTTTGTTTAGTTTTTTTACTTTTAAAAATATTTAAAATTCTTACTGACCCCAAATATTTGAATGGTGGTAAAAGTGGAACAGAATTTTGCAAAATAATATTTTTATGTGGACGGGGCTACCCAGCAACCAACAATTTGTGTTAGATTAATATAAAAGAAACAGGATTTATCGCTTGTCATTCTGTGTCTGTTTGGATGCAGTGCAAGACTGTGTTTTTTTTATTTTTATCTAAAGATCTGAAGAACCCTGAGATTGTGACATTGAAAAACCTGACGAGGGAAAGCGCGGGGGGTTATAAATGCACCGCCAGCAATGATGTCGGAGAAGAAAACTGCACTTTAGAGGTCAAAGTTCACTGTAAGTACCTGTGTTTATGGATGTGTTCAGAATGGCATACTAGTGTAGCATACTGTGAAGACTACCTGCTGTTTTCTAAAAATAGCGCACAGTATGAAGTGATAAATGCTTCAAACCATAGTATGCTACATTGTTGACACATTACCTCATTGCGCTGCACTTTTAATTTAGCATGTGCCATCCAGTTTTCCGTTACCTTGGAAATAAAAATGCAAAGAGATTTGTTTTAGCTAATTTGTCAAATTTTTTTACACATTTTGATTTCTAAAGGATCATGTGACACTGAAGACTGGAGCAATGACTGCTGAATTCAGCTTTGTCATTATAGAAAATAATAACATTTGAAACATAAAAAAAAAAAAAAAATTTAATTGTAATAATATTTAACAATATTACTGTTTTTACTGTATCTTACTATATCAAATACATGTAGCCTTAGTTAGCAAAAGATACTCTTCATTTTTTGTTTAGTTTTTTTACTTTTAAAAATATTTAA